ACTGGCCGCTGTCATGTCCAGAAAGTTGAACATGATTTCAATATGTCCGACATCTTACGGCGGTAACTTCCAGCAGCGTGAAATATGTTTAAACATGTCCACACATGAACTTCTGTATTTGCGCCAGCCAGACATCGGATTGCAGCGTCAGCCAACAGAATCCAGCCAGCCCTCTGGGCGTAGGTGGTCTAAGGAGGTTTCTCTTCCGACCCCCTTCTTGGGGAAGGGTTTATCACTGTTCCCTATGAATATACACCCGCTCCCCCAGGCGACCGGCACCAACCAGGAACAATGAGGATACCATGCTCACACCCCCCTTCCCTTTCAAAAAACAATACAAAACGCACTCTGCCCCCACATTCGAAGCATGCGCAACCAACCCGACGCGGCCCCCCCACCATCCCTGTCAAAAAAATACAAATACAACTTGGGGTAAAATCTTGAATCATCTTCGTGAGGCCCGCGAGCACTTTGTATGTTTCTTGACAGGGACGGCGGGGTGTCAGCATACTGTCTGCTGTGCGCAGGGCCACCATTACCATCAAAAACCAATACGACATGCACATCGCGGATAAATATGGATCATGCGCAGCCACCCCGCGATCACTGTGAAGTGGTTTTTTCCCGCGGCCGCCCTGTGCACACGCGACGTCGTAGGACAGTTCGCCGAACACGACCAGCACCGAGTCGAGCAGCTCCTGGGACAAGCGGACGCCGCCGCCGCCGCCGACATGGACAGGCTCACCTGCTACCACCGCGCTGCCCCGACCTCACCGCGCGAGAAATCGCCCCGCTGAGCGCAGCCGGACCCCGCGCCAGCACGATCGCGAAGGACCAGGCGTCGTTCCTGCTGCAGATCCACGAAGGGAACCAACGAGAGCGGGGGCACATGGACTCCACGGAGACACCCGGCCAGCCCGGGGGCCGCCCATGGCCCCGCACCGCGGCAGCCTCGAGCATGGAGCGAAGCAGACTGTCGCGACTTCCTGGCCACGATCTACCTGGGCGACGCCCCGGCGGACGGCGTCCCCGGACGCCTCCCGTGGAACGGCAGCAGGGCCGCCCTTGCCCACATTGTCAACCACCTCGCCAAAGAGAAAGGGCAAGGAGGGGTCGAGCGCCCGGACAGCCTTCGACGCCCCCGGCTCACCTTTCTTGGCAATGACTCTGCCGTTCACGGCTCAAGCCCTCCGGGGCACTGCGAACGGGCAACTACTGATCCTGTTCCTGGCCGTCCACGACATCCGCACTGGGCCCCCCCCGCTGCTGGCGAATGCACAGCCCTGGCCAACGCCGCGCTGGCGCCAGCCGCCAGGCAGCCGCTTCCAGCCCAAGAAGGGACAGCCGAATAGACGCCAGCGCCAACGCCCCCACGTGGCCCTCCGCCACATGCTGCCAGCACGCTCGACCTGCCCCGCCGTGCGAGCCCAACCCACGGCGCCAACCACCCACCCCGCGCAGGCGCCCCACGCCCAGCGGCCCCCGCGACAGGAGATGGAAGTGATTAGGGGCCCAGCGACTGCCACGCGCGGGACGCCAGAGACCCCGCCAGCGGGGCTGACCTCGCGGATAGCAGCAACGCAGCCACCGCGCTCCCTGCAGCCAGTCAGGGCAAGTCAGCCGGCACCGATGCCGCACCCAGAGAGCCGAGCCGCCCAGCCGAGCATGGTGCAACCGTGAAAGACAAGCTGGACTGGTCAGAAAACGAAAACGAAGCCAGCGCCGCAGCCCGCAGAGGCACCCCGCCCCTGGACCCCGGCGCCTCCCGCACAGGGCGCACTCAGGAGGCGGGCCAGGCCGGGTCCTCGGAGACTTCGCCATGGCGCACAGCGACGTCCCCACCGCGCCAATGGCGTAGACAACCGGCCCAGGCGAGAAGGGCACCTTGATCGCGCCCGCCACTGACCCAGGTTTCCTGCCTGGCCCAGTCGAAGAGGCGCGCTATCCCGACGCCCCCGCCCTGCCTGGGGGGTCTAGCTCTGCGCGAGAGCGCGGCGGGCCTGGGCGGTCGTCCGGGACGCGGCCGACACTGCGCACCGCGCGTGGGTCATCAAGCGGGGCGCGCTCATCGGGACGCACTCGGCCTGCTCAGGAGCTGGCCAGGACGACCGCGCTCCGGCCCAGCCGCGCGCCGAAGGGGGGCTACCCGAACCAGGCGCGGCGCCCAGCGGGCCAGCAACCAGCGCCCCCGCACGCGGCCACGGCAGCGACCCCGACTGGGAGGGGGCAAGGCACGCGGCCAGCGCGAGGCGCGAAATCGACAGGCGCATGGACAGCGTGCGGGACCCGGCCTGGCCCGACGACCACGCTGGCCAAACCTGGCTCGACCTGGATGACAGATGGCACCGCCTGCCACGGCCCCGCCTTGTGTTTTGGCGCATGCACGCCCAAGGCGGCCTAGAGAGCTGGGGCGCCGTCGCCAGGCGTCTCCAGATCGAGGCTGGCTCTTGCTTCGGCGAAAGTTGAAAGTGCGCGCGCGACAAGCGCGACAACCAGGACACCGGCAAAGGGCGACACAACCCGCAAGGATTTTTGCCGACAGTTCATGGCTGATCTGTAGTATTGGAGCTTCGACACCAAGAAATGCTGCTGATGGGAAAATACCCACGCGTACCGGTGCCAGGTCTCACGCGACCAGCAGGCCGAGAACACGCGCAGGCAAGAGACGCGGGAGCGCGGAGCCGCCGAGCAAGGCACAGGGCGCGATAAAGGCGGCAAGCCCGGCAAGCGCCGCTTCACTGCCTGGGACGACGCCCCCAGCGCCCGCCGGCGCTAAACACCTGCGCCGCCGCAGCCACCACCACCCGGCTGCACTTGGCACCTCTACGGGGCGTGCCGCCCGCGGGCACCGCGCCACTCCACACATGGCCCTCCTCCCTCCTCCCCCCCCCTCGCCATGACGTCGTGCGTCCCATTGGGGCGTGCGACGCCGCCCTTCACTGTTCCTCGGGCCACTTCGGCGCTCCCTCACTCTTACGCCGCGACGGACCGCTCTCCACGAGGCGTGTGGCCCTTTGGGCTGGGCGCCTCTCCGCACCTGGTTTGGCACCTCCTCGGCGCCCCCACTCACCTCTCCTCCTTGCGACGTACCTCCCGCGCGGGCCGCGCGTCGCTCACGCACTGTCCCCCGCGCCACTTCGGCGCTTCTCTGCTGCGCCACGCTAGACCGCCCATTGGGCCGCCCAGCGCCGCTACCCGGCTTCTGCACCTTTCGGCGCCCCCCGCCGCCGCCCCCTGGCGACGCACCTCCCGTTTGGGACGCGCGTCGCTCACACGCTGTCCCCTGCGCCATTTCGGCGCCCCTCTGCTGCGCCACGCTGGACCGCCCATTGGGCTGCCCAGCGTCGCCACCCAGCTTCTTCACATTTCGGTGTTCCCCGCCGCCGCCCCCTCGCGACGCACCTCCCGTTTGGGACGCGCGTCGCTCACTCACTGTCCTCTGCACCATGTCGGCGCTTCTCTGCTGCACCACGCTGGACAGCCCATTGGGCCGCCCTGCGTTGCTACCTGGCTTCTGCACCTTTCGGTGCTCGTCTCCTTCCATGGCAGCCCCGCACTGCCTCATCCCGTTGCGATGCTGTTCCACCCCGCCGCCTGCGGGCGCCTGGGACGCTTCGCCCGCCGCCACCTGCCCACCCCTCTCTGCCCTCTGGCCACCTGACGCGGCCTTGGGCAGGCACGCCGCCATACCAATGTCACTGCCAGCCATCCGGTTGCGTTGCCACCTCCTTCCGGCAGCCCCGCGCTACCTCTTCCTGTTGCGTTGCTGTTCCGCCCGCCGCCTTCGGGCGCCTGGGACGCTTCGCCCGCCGCCCCCTGCCCCACCGCTCCTGGCCCCCTGGCCACCTGGCGCGCCCTTGGGCGGCCACGCCGCAATACCCTTGTCAGTGCCAGCCACCTGGCTACGTTGCTTCTGCCTCCGCACGGCTCAGTGCTGCGCCTCCTCCTCGGCGCGCCGCGGTACCTCTGCCGTTCGCAATGTCCCACCGCGCCCGCCCGCCCACTCCAGCTGCTGGCAGCCGCCCTCCCGCCACCCTTGCCACCGTGGTTTGCCACGCCCGCCTACCGCGCTCTGGCCCTGCGCGCCCGGCTGCTGCTGCCCCCCCCGGCTGCTCATCGTCGAACTCTTCGACGTTCCTTCTTCCTCTCGGCCGTCCCTCCCCCTCTTTGCCCGCAGGCCAATTCGCTAGTTAGTGCCCCTTTTCTGGTTTCCCGCTGGAGCGGAGTTCGCCGCCTCGTCGCTGACGAAAAATCGTGCTCGTGTTCGTCGACTTCGTCGTCACCGTCGTGGTCGTCATCTTCGGCGTGTTCGTCGTCGTCGTCTTCGTCGTCGTCTTCGTCGTCATCTTCGTCGTTTTCGTCGTCATCGTCGTCGTCATGTTCGGCATGTTCGTCGACGTCGACTTCGTCCTCGTCGTTGTTGTCGTTTTGGTCTTCAACTTCGTCGTCGTCGTCGTCGTCATCGTCGTCTTCGTCATTGTCGTCGTCGTGTTCGCGGTCGTCGTCTTCGTCGTCTTTGTCGTCGTCGTCTTCGTCGTCGTCGCCGTCTTTGTCGTCGTCGTCGTCTTCGACTTCATCGTCGTTGTCTCCGTCCTCGTCGTCGTCTCCGTGTTCGTCGTCATCGTCTTCGTCGTCGTCGTGTTCGTCGTCTGCGTCGTCTTCGTATTCGTCGTCGTTGCCTTCAGCGTCGTCGTCGTCGTCATGTTCGTCGTCGTCATTCTCGAATTTTCGTCGTCGTTTTCGTCGTCGTTTGCGTTCTCGTCGTCGTCGTCTATGTCGTCTTCGTCTTCGATTTCGTCGTCTCCGTCGTCGTCGTCGTCGTCGTGTTAGTTTTCATCTTCGTCGTCTTCGTCGTCTTCTTCGTCGTCTTCGTCTTCTTCGTCGTCGTCTACGTCTTCGTCGTCGTCGTCTTTCTTCGTCGTCGTCGTCGTCAGCGACGGGCGGCGGAGCGGCGTCTCGGAGCGAGGCGGCAGAGGCGATCGGGCGGGCGGGGGCCCGTCCTGGCAGCGCCGCGGGCACGCCCAGGCAGGCGCTGAGGCCGCCTGTCGCCCAGAGGGGCGCGGCAGCCCTCTCGAGCGTGCTCCGGGGGTCGGGAGGAGCACAGGGGCCCCGGAGCCCAGACCTTCACCCTTGGTGAGCCTGGCGCAGGGCCCAACCACTTGTGCAGTCCAAAACCCCGATGGCGACGCAGTCCAATAAAAACGCTTGTAAAACGCGTATGGGAGACGCTGGAAAGGGCGCTGGACAGCATGCCTGTGGAGCTTGCAAGCTTCGGAAACTCGCGTGGGAGACGCTTGCCAGGACGCTGGGAACCATGCTTGGGGAGCTTGCAAGTTTCAACAAGCGAGCTTCGAAGGAGCTTCGAAGGAGCTGCGAAAGACCTGCGGAAAGGCTTCAGGCACGCGTATTGGGAACGAGTAGGAAAACGCTTCTCGGGACACGCTGCAACTTCAAGCAGCCTGCTCTGGGGATGCCTGCCCGGGAGCCTTGGAGAGGAGCTGGCCTACCTGCGCTGCCGGCTTCTAATCCGAAACCCTCTTAGCTATCAGAGAGCTAGCCGGGAATGTGCAGGTGCGAATGCCGCACAGCAGGGACGAAGTGGGGGAAGATGCGTTTGGGGCCATGAAGCGTGCAAAGGGTGTGCTAAGATGGGCGTGGGAAAGCGCGTGGTTCCCGCCACTGCGACCTTCGGTGGAGCTCCCTGTGGGGCCACTGCACGTGCGACGGGCGCGAGACCGCCTGCCTCCCGAAGGGCGCGGCAGGCCTCGAACGCGCTGCTGGGGTCGGAGGAGGCGGGTCATGCAACAAGGGGGCCCCGGAGCCTCGAACGGACATTTTCCAACATATCGGCTACTGGGCTGACGCCATCGCGCTTTCTGCTGGTCATGAGGAAAATCCTGGAGGCCTCGCGCTGCAACTGGAGACCCAGTGCACGTCGGATCCACTTGGGGTTCACGTCGGATGCACGTCTGACTCACGTGGTGTGGCCGGCGATGGGCGAGGGGGCGGCGTGCTATCGGGCCAGGATGTCCAGTCACGCCACAGAGAGCTCCGCCTCGCCCTGCCAGGGGGGCGCCGAACCGCCGACTGAAAGGTAAGGTCGCCGGCCCTGCAGGTGGGGGTGTCATCATCGGGGACGGGGAGGGCCGCCAGCTTGGCCAGGACCGGGAAGTAAACCGAGATGAGGCGGATCCTCCTGGGCAGTGGCCTCAATTCCGCAGCCCGGGATCAGCTCGCGCCCGTGGATGTCCGTGAAAGCGCGGGGGAGGATGGCGGCAACGCCACCGCGCGGCCCCTAACAGGGCCGGGGATGGCGGGTAACGTAATGAGAGTGCGGCCGGGGAGACAGGCGCGCCAGGCCTCGATGTCCCTCGCCGACCCGTGAGTGTCTTGGAGGAGAGGGGGGGCGGTCGCCGCACGAGTATCGGAACGAGAGATTGCGCTGCTGCAGCACGCTGCGCGTCCGAAGGTCCGTGAGCCACCGGGCACTCCAGGACGCCAGCGTGGAGTGCAGCCCGGTCGGAGGCGCGAAGGGCCTCAACGAGCTGCTGGGCAATGTGCCCCAAGCAGATCTGCGCCAAGGTACAGCCCAGTGGGAGGGCCGCGCCGTGGATGGCCCAGCGCATGGCCGCAGCCGACTGGGGTAACCTCAGGCCGAGGCCGCGGAGGGGGCGGCGGAGTGCAAGGCGCACACTCTGCCAGCCGAGAGAGCGGCCGGCGGGGACGCCGCCCGCTTCTTCCGCGTCTAAGGGCGCGCCTGCATGAGGGGGGGGCAGCCGGGGGCTCCTCTGCCCACGATGTTCTGGAGAGTACCATGCGGGAACGGATCAGCGGGGCTGGCCACCCGCGTCGGCGGGGCCCCCATCGCCGCGAGAAACCACGCGGCCTCCAGAAAACTAGCCACGGCCCCCCGCCAGCTGGTCGATGAACACGCACAGGCTAGCTATACCAAGGTCTCCACCCTGTCCGCGTCGCGCGCAACAGCTCCGCGATGAGCCACGAAAAATGCGCCGGCAGTTCGCGCGTCGCTGGGCGAGCGCCCGGAGGGCTCTGCTCGCAAGAGCACTGGAACATCGCCATGGGAGTCAAGGCGGGCGCGCAAGAGCACTGGAACATCGCCATGGGAGTCAAGGCGGGCGCCTCTATCCCCAGCGCGCAGGCCAAATTCGCCTTCAGCAGCACGCGAACCTCGGGCCCGTGCTGAACCAGCACTTGCTGCCACTCCTTCCGAAGCGCGAACCCACGCATCGAGGTCGAGGCGGCCCCCCCACCCTCGGTCGGCGGCGCGGCCGATGACTGGGGCAGGTCGCTAGGCATGCCCAGCTGCGGGTGCGCTGCGGCCAGCGGCTGACAGGCACGGCAAAGCCCGATCCGAAGTGGCCTCTGGGTTGCCAGCAGGGCAGGCCCCGTCGCCCTCGACGCCCTCCTGGCCAAAGCCGAAAGCTCCGATGGGCCTGGTCAGGCCGGGAGGTGCTGGCAGTGGCGAGGGCGCGAGAAGCGGAGAGAGCGGAAGCTGAGCGCCCCCAGGCCTCCCCTGGCCCCAGGACGCCACCAGGGGCGTAGTCGAACGCGGGCAGGTCGGCCTGGGACACGCGCCGCCTCGTCGGCGAACAGCTGCAGCGCCTGTAGCGAACGCTGCGCGGGTCCGCGGGAGCACCCGACGGAGGAGCTTCCGTCTGGGCCATCTGCGCAACCATCAGATGACTGATCTCCAGCTGGACCTTGGCAAGGGTCATCGACGCCCCCTCATCGAAGGCGGCTGCAGGGGCGCGAAGGCGGCCACAAGGGCGCCCGCCGCCCGCGGGCGTGCCGCGGCACCCGCCGGCTTCGAGACAGCAGCCAGCCCCCCCCCCCCCCGCAGTGGCGGGAAAGGCATCGCAGCAGGAGGGGGGGCCCTCAGAAGAGGAGGGCCGCCGTCGTCGTCGGCGTCCTCCTCCTCGATCTCCACCGCGCGCTCGTCTCCTGAGTGGTAGGGGGTTGTCCGCTCCACGCCTGGCAGCGCTTCGTCCTCGTCTTCGGCGCCCGCCCCGTGAATCGCGACGTAGCCATCGCGCAGGGCACGGGCCCCCGACGGGCGCGGCCAGCAAGCGCGGCCACGAGCGGCCCCAGAAGGCACTGCTCCCATCGGCGTCCCCGTCCGCCATCGGGCACAAATCTTCCGGCTCCATCTCTGCGACCTCCACGTCGACCACCAGCACATATGCGATGATGCTCGGCGGGCAGGAGGCCGCGCCCAGCAAGGGCAAGTCGACCACTTGGTAAGGACCGACCACCCCCTGGAGGAAGCCATCGGCTTCCACGAGGCTGAGATCCTTTTGACCGAGAGGAACGCCGCAGGCAACGCCAGCTGGATACCTCCAGGCCGAGAGGCCAAGCGAATCGCGGCGTACCCTACTTCGCCGTCGTCTAGGCGCCAGCGGTCGTGCCTGGTGGTCGACGGCGCCTCGAACGGGCGGAGGTCGGGCCACACTGGACCCTCGGAGAAAAAGCTGCTTCTCCCGAGGAGCAGCGGGAGCGGCCGCCATACTTGACGGCACGCGCGGAAGGCCCTCCCGAGGGGACTAGCCTTGCGGCGCTGCTGGGGACGAGCTTCGAGACAGGGCTCGAGCGCGATCCTCAGCATGCATCCCTGGACCGTAGGCCAGGGCGCGACGCGAGACTCGACCGTGCCCCCGGGGGGGGCACCGATCGCTTGGCGTGCGCGGGCGAAGGGCAGACGCTCCCACCAGCGGGACGCTGGGGCCCCGATGCAGGAGCCCCGCAGAGGCTGCAGAAGGTCGTGACGTCGTGACGCCAAGCAGCGCCACAACCGAGGAGAGCAGCAGGAGAGTGACTCCGCTGCTCGCGCCCACTGCCAGCTCGAGGCAGACGGCGGGGCAGGCCGAACCCCAGCGGGCGGGGGGGGGGGGGGCAATGCCCTCCGCCGCTTCGGCGTGGGCGGGCCACGGAGAGCCCACAGCGGGGGCTCCGAGGTCCGCGAGTGATGGGGAGGGGCTGCCCAACAAGCCACTCGTAGAGCGCGGCTCGCATGCCTCGGAAGAGAACCTCGCCCGCTCCCTCAGTGGAGGAGAAGAGTAGAGATCATAAAGAGAGGGGGCGTGGACGGGAGGACGGTTACGGTTGAGAGTAAGGCGAGGAAGGGGAGGAAGAGGAGCAGTAGGCGAGGGGTCGAGTTCGACAGGTCAAGCGAGTCACAGGGCCCCGCCCAATTCCACCCTCCCTCCCACAGCATAAAAATTCAGCTGGCCCCTTGTGGGTTTCCAGGCGCCGGGAATTTTCTCCCCCTTACTCCCCCCCGCAGAGGCTGCAGAGGCCCCAAACTGGCAATTCGGCCCCCCCACTTGGCCCGGGACGACCCCCCCAAGAATGCACTGTGGGAGAATCAAAGCTCTTCCGGTACTGTTTGATGGCCCCGAGAAGGCTCCAGAGACACCCAAAACGATCCAAGAGGGCCCCGAGTCGCCGAAAGATCGGCCCAAGACGCTGAAGATGGCCTCCACGGTCTAAGAGGCCTCCAAAACGCCCCAAGAGGCCTCCAAGAGCATTCCCAAGAAGGCCCCGAGAAACACGAGTCATCCCATTACCTGAAGGAGACGCCCGCGCCGTCCAGGCCGTGACCCCCCGCCCTCCCCCCCTCCCCGAATTGCCGACGACGGCCACAACGGCGGCGGACGCCGCCAGGGACGCGGCAGACGCCAACAGCCACCCGCCCGCGACGTCCAGCAGGCTCCAGGAGGCCGCGAACCCCACCCCCTCCTCGTTAAGGGCTTAACGACTTCTGCCGTCCCTCGACTCGCGCTGGAGCCAGTTTGCCCAACATTTCCCTGGAAATCTGTAGATTTGCCAGGATGGGTTTTCCCCGACTCGTCAGCATTCACCCTGATTTATCTGGCTTGATCCCCACAAGTCCATCGGCGAAAAGTCGTCAAGCCCGTAATTGGGGATCCGCTTGCCCATCCCCGAAGTGCTGACAACGGCCACGACGGCGGCGGCGGCTGCCGCCGCAAGGGACGCGGCGGCCGCCTAAGACCGCACCGCCCGCGCCGTCCAGCAGGCTCCAGGAGGCCGCGAACGGCCTCTCGGCGCGCCGAGCGCGGGTAGTGCCAACGTCGTCGTCGTCGTCGTCGTCGTCGTCGTCGTCGTCGTCGTCGTCGTCGTCGTCGTCGTCGTCGTCGTCGTCGTCGTCGTCGTCGGGAGGTGGCGGAGGGGGAATCGCTGGGTAAGGTCGGGCGTGGAATTCGCCGGCCCAACGGGCCAAAAGGCGCGCAAAATCTCCGGTAAGAGTTGAAGTGATTCGCGCGCGCGTGGCGGCCCTTTGCAGTCCCCGGACGGAAAGTACCCCGGCAAGGCCCCGGCAAGGTCCAGGCAAGGTCCCGGCAAGGTCTGGCAAGGTCCCGGCAGAGTCGGGCCAGAGATGCCAGAACTTCTGGGCGCGGCCTCGGGAGCCCCACGAGCGCCCCAATGGGGCGCCAAAAGGGTAGCACGCCCCACGGCCTCAGGCCAAGAGCGTTCCAAGATGGCCCACGTTGGCCCCAAGACGGCCCACGAAGCGCCCAAGAAGCTACAAAGGGTTCCAAGAGGACTTCGACAGGCCCCGGAAACGCAAACATGATCGACCCACGAAACTGGAAAGGGATATAGAAATGTGAAGCATGGCAAAGTTTTCAAAGCACCTGATTGGGCGACGGGCAATTGCAATGCTGAATGTATCGATCTTGGTGTACCGTGCCCAGGGCTGTGGTGATGTGCTGTGCCGTGCGGAACTGCGATGTGTCATGCCGCGATTGTGCTCTATAGCGTGGTTGATCAAGTCCTCCATGGCATTCGGGTCCTGACCGAACTGGTCTGGATCTTAAGCTCGAGCTGCCTGAGCACATGATAGCCGACCCAGAGCTAGTTGAAGTGGAAACGTGGAGGACGTTCAATCAACTCGACCTCACAATCCGAATCAGCTCCGACAATGAAAGACACGACACGGGGCACAGGCTCACGGACGCGACACTGGATGTGCCAGGGGCGCAATAGGGGATGCGCCGGGGGACGTGTCAAGGGACGCATCAGGGGACGTGCCATGGACGTGTCAGAGACCTGCCACGGGACGTGCCAAAGCGCGTGCCATGGGGCGGCCAGAGGATGTCATGCCAAGGAACGTTGCAGTGGGCCCGCCACGGAAAGGGCAGGGGAAACGCCTTGGGACGAGCAAGGGAACGCGACAGAGGACGAGCCAGGGAACGTCCCACGCCGAGTGGCGTGCTAGGGAACGTGGCAGGGCACGTCACGCCAGACTAGAATGGATCCCCCCCCAGGGGGAGCGCCAGGGCGACGTGGGACGCCCCACGGACTGGCGGGGTTGGAATGCGACGCACTCTCCTGCGACAAACGTTTCGCTCGAGACATCCTCAACAAATCCTCATGTTAGACATCCGCCTGGGCGACCTGGACGCGCGAAAACCAAGCGTCTCGCTCGAGACGTTCTCAACACCTCCTCATGCTAGACATCTGCCTGAGCGACCTGCACACGTGAAAACAAGAGCTTCGCTCAACACATCCTCAACACATCCTCATGCTAGACATCCGCCTGGGCGACCTGGACACGTGAATACAAGTGACTTTCTCGAGACAGCCTCAAGAAACCCTCGTGTTAGACATCAGTCTGGGCGACCTGAACACGTGAGACCAAACGTCTCGCTCAACACATCCTCAACACATCTACATGCTAGACATCCGCCTGGGCAACCTGTGCACGTGAAATCAAGCGTTTCGCTCAACATATCCGAGAGAGCGTGAAGTCCCCCTCTCTTCCTCCAGAACCCGGAGGTCCACCCCCCTCCGAATGTCCCCCCCCCTACTGGAAACCCCCCCCATCCCCCTGGCAAAACCCCCCCCCCTCTTACCCTCCCCCCCCCCTCCGGAAAACCAGAAGGGGTCACTACGGGTTCGAACCCCCCCCTCCGGAAAACAAAGGGGGGGTCCGCCTGCCCCCCCCCCCGGAAAACCGGGGGGGGTCACTACCGGTTCGAACCCATCCCCCCCCCCCTCCGGAAAACCAGAGGGAGGTCACTGCTGGTTCGAACCCCTTCAACCCCCTGCTCCAGAAAACCGCGGGGGGGGCACTGCCGGCTCGAACCCCCCCCCTCCTCGAAAACGGGGGGGGGTCACCACTGGTTCGAACCACCCCCCCTCGAAAACCGGAGGGGGTCACTACCGGTTCGAACCCCCCCCCCTCCTCTAAAACCGTGGGGGGTCACTACCGGTTCGAAGCCCCCCCCCCCGCTCACCGCCAGCAAACGACTCCCGGGTCCCTACCACCGTCCGCACCACTTCCCCCCCTGCTGTCCCCAGCACCACTGTCCTCACCACCACTGTCCACACTGTTCCCACCACCGTCCCCACTATCCCCACGAGTGCCCCCACCACTGTCGCACTGTCCCCACTGTCCCCACCACTGTTCCCACCACGGTTCCACTCTCCCCACTTTCTCCACGGCCCCTACCACTGTCCCACTGTCCCCACTGTCCCACTGTCCCACTGTCCCCGCCGCTGTCCCACTGAGGTGTCCGACTGTTCCCACCACTGTCCCCACTGTCCCCACCACTGTCCCCACTGTGCCTCTGTCCCATTATCCCACCGCCGTCCTCGCCACCGCCCTCACCACTGTCCCCACCACCACTGTACCCTCCACTGTCCCACTGTTTCCACCACATCACCACTGTTCCCACACCACTGTCCCCACAACCACCGTCCCCACCACTGTCCCACAGTCCCCACTGCTCCCACCATTGTCCCCGCTGTCCCCACCAGTGCCCCCACCAGTGTCTCACTGTCCCCACTCTCCCCACCATTGTCCCACCACAGTCCCACTCTCCCCACTTTCCCCACGGTCCCCAGCACTGTCTCACTGTCCCCACCGTACCCACCACTGTCCCACTGTCCCCGCCGCTGTCCCACTGTGCTGTCCCACCGTCCCCACTGGCCCCATCACTGTCCCTCTGTCCCCACTGTCCCCACCACTTTCCCCACTGTACTACTGTCCCACCACTGTCCTCACCACCGCCTTCACCACTGTCCCCACCACTACCGTCCCCACCACTCTCCCACTGTCCCCACCACTGTCCCGCTGTCCCCTCACCACTGTCCCCACCACCACCACCGTCCCCACCACTGTCCGCACCACTGTCCCACTGTCCCCGCACCACTGTCCCCACCACCACCGTTCCCAGCACTGTCCCAGCATCCCCACCATTGTCCAACTGTTCCGAGGTGCGGGAATGGTTTGCTGGCGGCGAGGGGGGGAGGGGGGGGGGAGGAGGTTCGAACTGGTAGTGACCCCCCCGGTTTTCGAGAGGGGGGGGGAGGTTCGAACCGGTAGTGACCCCCCCCCCTTTCATGATGGACTGGGGGGGGGGGAGGGGGGAGGGGTTCGAACCGGTAGTGACCCCACCCCGATTTTCGAAGGGGGGGAAGACAGGTTGGGAACCCCCAGTGACCCCCCCCCCGGTTTTCCGCCAGCAGCGGTAGAACACGCTCTTTCACATATCCTCATGCTAGACATCTGCCTGGGCGACCTGGACACGTGAAAGCAGGCGTCTCGCTCGAGAAGTCCTCGACAGATCTTCACGTTTGACATCTGCGTGGGCGACCTGGGCACGTGGAAACAAGCGTTTCGCTCGAGACCTCCTCAACACATCCTAATACTAGACATCCGCCTGGGCAAGCGGAAACGTGAAAGCAAGCGTCTATATATATATATATATATATATATGTGAAAAGAGAGAGAGAGAGAGAGAGAGAGAGAGAGAGATCCTCATCAAATCCTCATGTTCGACATTCGCCTGGGCGACCAGGACACGTGAAACCAAGCGTTTCGCTCAGCACATCCCCAACACATCTTCATGCTAGACATCCGCTTGGACGAATCTCGAGACATCCTCAACATATCCTCATGCTAGACGTCTGCCTGCACGACCTGGACGCGTGGAAACAAGCGTCTGGCTTAAAACATCCTCAACACGTCCTGATTCTAGAAATCTGCCTTGGCAACCTGGAGGCGTGAAACCAAGCGCTTCGCTCGAGAGATCCTCAAAACCTGGGCAAGCATTTCACCTGAGACAGTCTTTTAGTTTTGGTCCCCAGGAGAGGACCGACGTATATCACAAAACAAGCTTGTCGCCCGAGAAATCCTCAACACAGTATGCAAAAAAAAAAAAAAAAAAAAAAAAAAAAAAAAAAAAAAAAACGTTTTGCTCGAGACATCCGCAGCCAACGAACACGCTTGTTTTACACGGTCCTTTATTAGTCAGAATTTCAAGTACCAGCGTTTCGGTGGGGACACCCTCAACTTTTTAATCCGCCAGTCCTACGCGACCCCGTAATCCCCACATCAAAAGTGGGGTTCTTGTTTTCTCTGGACACACCACGCAGGAGCAGGATGGAAGGAACACCCCTTCTCTTCTCATTTACACACTCACATTCTCACACCATCATCACAGCATCAGCATCACTTACGCACTCACTCACATTCATTCGGCCACTCGCACTGATTCACTCACAGCCACTCATTTATCCTGAATGGTTCGTTCACTCACTCACAACTGCGAATCATCACTCATCACCATCATCATTATCACAACACCACCGCCACGCCCACCCACACACTCAGTTTGAGGAGGTCTCAGACGGGAGCCTTGTTTTTGAGGGAACACCATCAACATCACCCATCACCATCGTCACCATAATCACCCATCACCCGCCCCCATCGTCACCATCACCATCGTCACCATCACCCAGCACCATCGTTCTCACACCAGACGAAGTCTCAGGCGGAACCTCTTTTGCGAATGAATTGCGAGGGCATCTCGGGCGGGAACCCCCTCCCTATAGGGGCCCGCGCTTCACGTTCGATCCCGAAGCGGGTCGTCGGCCTCCTGTCACTGTCGTCACGTATGGGCCCCTGGAGCCTGAACATGGAGGAAGTATGAGGCAGGAGTCTCGCCTTCGAGCGAATTGCGAGGAAGTCTCGGGAGGGAGCCCCTTCCCGACGGGGCCACTGCATGTTCGACCCCGAGGCGGGTCATCAGCCTCCTGTCACTGTCGTCACTCTTGAATTCCTGAAAACCAAATATGGAAGAAGTACGAGGCGGGAGCCTCATCTGTAAGTGAATTGCGGGGAAGTCCCAGGCAGGAGCTCCCTCTCTGCGGGGCCCGCACTTCATGTTCGAATCCGAGGCGGGTCATCGGCCTTCTGTAGCTGTTGTCACGTTTGAACTCTTGAGGTCTGAACATGGAGGAAATAGCATGCGGGAGCCTCGGCTGTGAGCGAACTGCTAGGGAGTCTCAAGCAGGAGCCCCCTCCCAGGAACGGGGGTCACCACTGGGCCCGCACTTCACGTTCGAATCCCGAGGCGGGTCACCGGCCTCCTGTAACCGTCGTCACTTTGGAGCTCCTGAAGCATGAATAGTGACGAAGTGCAAGGCGGGAGCCTCGTCTGTGAGTGAAACGCAAGGAAGTGTCTCGCGTGTCCCGATGGCCTGGCCCGCGGGGCTGCCCCAACGCCCGCGCGACGTGGCCATTGGAGAATGCGCCCGTGCTGGCCGAGGCGGCGACGACGCCGAGGAAAATCTACATGCGCGCTCGTGCCAGGAGGATGGAGGTGCGCATGTGGAGAGCGGGCGGGGTGGCGATGAGGAGGGGGAGGAGGAGGAGGAGGAGGAGGAGGAGGAGAAAGCAAAAAAGGAGAAGGAGAAAAAAGCGAGGAGGAAGAGGAGGAACGTGAGGAGGAGAGGGAGGAGGAGGAGGAGGAGGAGGAGGAGGAGGAGGAGGAGGAGGAGGAGGAGGAGGAGGAAGAGGTCCCGACGGCATGGCCCGCGGGGCTGTCCAGACGGCTGCGCGACGTGGCCATTAGAGAATGCACCCATGCTGGCCGAGGCGGCGACGACGCCGAGGAAAATCTACATGCGCGCTCGTGCCAGGAGGATGGAGGTGCGCATGTGGAGAGCGGGCGGGGTGGCGATGAGGAGGGGGAGGAGGGGGAGGAGGAGAAGGAGGAAGAGGAGGAGGTGAAGGATGTTCCCCCACTTGTTTCGTGGGGGTATGGTTTTCTTCCCGCCCGCGTCGCACCCACGTTTCTCTCTCTCTCTCTCTCTCACACACATCCGCACCTCTTCAACTTTCCTCCGCATCCTCATTCTTGCACCTCACCCGCGTCGCACCCGCGTGCCCTGCCAGACGCAGACAAGACATGCGCGGCATTGACATGAGACACGCGGCCACTGACAGCCGTGCACGCAGCACACATACATACATACAGAACACATACAGCAAACATACACACAGGACACAGACGCGGCATTGACATGTGACACACGGCCACCTACAGCCGCACACACACACACACACACACACACACACAAACACAAACACAAACACAAACACAAACACACACACACACACACATCATGCACATACCACACATACACGGCACCTACATGAGACACACGTCGGCAGACAGCCGCACACAAACCCTATTCCTCCTTTGGCGACCCCACCCCCACACGATCACCGTACCACAAGTGCAGACCTGGCGTGTTCACTCCATCATACACCCAAAACGCATGCACCACATACTGGACACCCACATGACGGGGCCGCCATACGTGCCATCCTTGACACCACAAGGGTGCGCTGGGGGTGGGAGCGCTATCCGTTTCGGGCTCGCAGACCGTGGCAGGCGTGGCACTTCCTCGACACCACAGGGGGTGCGCTGGGGGCGGGGGCGGAATCCGTATCGGGCTCGCAGAGCGTGGCAGGCGCGGCACGTCCTCGACACCACAGGGGGTGAGCTGGGGGTGGGGGCGGAGTCCGTTTCGGGCTCGCAAGGCGTGGCAGGCGTGGCACTTCCTCGACATCACAGGGGGTGCGCTGGAGGCGGGAGCGCTATCCGTTTCAGGCTCGCAGAGCGTGGCAGGCGTTGGCACTTCCTCGATGCCACATGGGGTGCGCTGGGGCTGGGGGCACTATCCGCTTCGGGCTCGCAAAGCGTGGCAAGCGTATCATGTTCTTGACACCACCTGGGGGGGTGGTGGGGGCGGTATCCGTTTCGGGCTCACACGGCGTGGCAATCATGGCACTTCCTGAACACCGCAGGGGTGCGCGGGGGTTGAGAGCGCTACCAATTCGGGCTCGCAAAACGTTGCAGGCATGGCACTTCCTCGACATCACAGGGGGTGCTGGGGGTGGAAGCGATATCCGCTTCGGGCTCGCAAGGCGTGGCGGGCGTGGCACGTCCTCGACCCCGGATGCGCAGGAGGTGGAAGCGCTATCCGTTTCAGGCTCGCAGAGCGTGGCAGGCGTGGCACTTCCTCGACACCACAGGGGGTGCGCTGGGGTGGGAGCACTATCCGTTTCGGGCTCGCAAGGCGTGGCGGCGTGGAGGCAACAGCTGAATTGTGAGTTTTCGCAAAAACAATCAAGGGGTCATTAAACTGGATAAGCAGGCCTGTAGCCCAGCTCAAGCCCATGAGCGGGATCGAGCCAGATTCAGCGGGACTACGCGGAGTTTACCTGAATCAACAGGATCGAGCTGGGGTAAGTTGGTTTTCGACCATGGATCTACCAGTGCCGATGCTCAACCTCCCAAGAGCTGCATCCTAACAGGCGCGCCCCGCCGCCAGGAGGGCGGATACCGCCACCGGCCAAAAGAGCGGCCGCGCGCGACGCTCTGCGGCGGGCTTGTTGGTGCGCTGCTCCAGCTCGTTGGTGTACGTCACCCGTATGCCTCGCCCCACGGCCGGCCGGCCAAGGGAGCGAGATCGGCCCGCGGGCGGAAGGGTCCTTGCCATCGCTCGGACGTTCATTCCCCGTGCACTGTTTGGTTTCGCGCGTGCTTTTTGTTGGTCTCCAGATGGTCCAAGATGGATCTCCTTGTTCACTGCTCGCGATAACGCCCGTGACCTGCCCCACCTCCCCCCCCGCGGTCACATCACGATTCGCGCCGGCGCCGTCTAGGAATTAGCCACCCTTAAAGTATTCCCAGACGGCGCCGGCGCGAATCGTGACGTGACTAGCCCATTCCCCCCCTCCCCCCCTGGTCACGCCCGTTATCGCCAGGGAGTAAGCATGATCGACCCAAGAGCCAGGAAAAGGATATGGAAATGCGAAGCATGGCAACGTTTTCAAAACGCCTGATTGGGCGACGGGCAATTGCAATGCTGAGTGTATCGATCTTGGTGTACCGTACCCAAGGCTGTGCTCTTGCTGTGCCGTGCTGAACTGCGATGTGCCGTGACGCGATTGTGCTCTATAGCGTTGTGGATCGAGTCCTCGTTGGCATTCGAGTCCTGACCGAACTGATCTGGATCTTACGCACGAGCTGCCTGAGCACGTAGTAGCCGCCCCATGGCTAGTTCAAGTGGAAACGCTGAGGACGTTCAATCAACTCGACCTCAAAATGAAACTCAGCTCCGGAAAGGAACGACACGACACGGGCCACAGGCTCACGGACGCGCCACAGGATGTGCCAGGGGCGCAGTAGGGGATGCGCCAGGGGACCTATCAGGGGACGTACCCTGGACGTGTCAGGGACCTGTCATGGGACGTGCCAAGGCGCGTGCCATGGGGCTATCAGAGGACGCCATGCCAAGGGACGTTGCAAGGGGCCCGCCACGGAACGGGCAGGGGAAACGCCTGGGGACGAGCCAGGAAACGCAACAGAGGATGAGCCAGGGAACGTGCCACGCCGAGTGGCGTGCTAGCGGGACGTGCCAAAGCACGTCACGCCTGAACGTCGCAAGGGACGCGCCAGGGGACGCGGCAGCGCGCCAGGGGACGCCCCACGCACGGGCGGGGTTGGACTGCGACGCACCCTATTGCGACAAGCGTTTCGCTCGAGACATCCTCAACAAATCCTCACATTAAACGTCCGCCTGGCCGACCTGGACACGTGAAGCCAAGCGTTTCGCTCAACACATACTCAACATATCCTCATGCTAGACATCCGCCTGGGCGACATGGACACGCGAAAACGAGCGGTTCGCTCGAGACATCCTCAACACTTGCTCATGCTAGACATCTGCCTGGGCGGCCTCGACGCGTGAAAACAAGCGTGTTGCTCGAGGCAGCCTGCCCAAATGCTCACGTTACAACTCCGCCTGGGCGACCTGGGCACGTGACGACGAGCGGTTCGCTCGAGACGTTCTCAGCTCATCCTCATGCTTGACATCCACCTGGGCGACCTGGACACGTGAAACCAACTGTCTCTTTCGAGACATCCTCAACACATCTTCATGTTACATATCCGCCTGGGCGACCTGGACACGCGAAACCAAGCGTCTCGCTCGAGACATCCTTAACACATCCTCATGCTAGACATCTGCCTGGGCGACCTGGACGCGTGAAAACAAGCGTCTCGCTGGAGACATCCTCAACAAATCCTCATGATAGACATCTGCCTGGGCAACCTGGACGCGCGAAACCAAGCGTCTCGCTCGAGACATCCTCAAGACCTGGGCACATGAAAACAAGCATGTCACATCAAACGTCTTCTGAATCCTGGTCCCCTGGAAAAGAACAATCGGCTACAGGCTCATTTGGGCCCCCCTGCGTTTTTTTGAAAAATCGGCATACCGTGTTCCACCCCCTTTCTCGCATGCGTTGTTCTCTCTCCTCTCTTCCTCCTCCTCCTCCTCCTCCTCCTCCTCCTCCTCCTCCTCGTCCTCCTCCTCCTCGTCCTCCTCCTCCTGCTCCTCCTCCTCCTCCTCTTCATCCTCCTCCTCTTCCCGATCCGATTCCACTAGCGGGGGCGGAATCCAGCAGAACCCTGAGAGAAAAAAAAAAAAAAAAAAAAAAAAAAAAAAAAAATGAGCAGAGATTCGGGGGCTGGGCGGTGGGGGGGAGGTCTCCTCAGGATTTGTTGGTTTGCTTGTTTGGTTTTTTTTGTTTTTTCCCCAGGGTTCTGCTGGATTCCGCTCCCGATACTGGAATCCGATTAGAAAGAGGAGGAGCAGAAGGAAAAGGAGGAGGGGGAGGAGGAGGAGAAGGCGGGGGAGGAGGAGGAGGAAGAGGAGGAGGAGGACGAGGAGGAGGAGGAGCAGGAGGAGGAGGAACAGGAGGAGGAGGAGGAGAAGGAGGAAGAGGAGGAGGAGCAGGAGCAGGAGGAGGAGGGAGGGGAGGAGGGGGAGGAGGGGGAAGAAAAACGAGGAGGAAGAGGAGGAGGAGGAGGGGGGGAGGGAGGGGGGAAGCGCGAGCAGGCACGCCGCACCTCGACCGAGGCTCAAGCAGCTCGCGGCGCGCTCGCGCCGACACCGCGCCCTTCGCCCCGCCCCGCCACCCCCCTGGCATGGGGAACCCCAAGCCAGGAACGGCCGCCCACGCGAAGAAGAAGGCGCGCAACGCCGCCTACAACGCCCACAAACGCGCGGAGAAGAAGGCCGCCGCCCTCGAGGCGGTGGTCGAGCCTTACACGAGGAAGATCGCGCGGCTGGAACACAGGGTGGGCGGATAGACAAACCTGACGGTGCGCACGGTGCGCAACGTGCGTGCCTTGTGCGCAGTGTGCGTGCGCCATGTGCGCGCGGTGTGCCAGGTGCGCGTTGTGCTTCATGTGCGCAGCTTGCGCCGCCCCAGGTGGACTTGGTGCGCGACCACAGGCAAGACTTCTGGGAGCAGCTGCAGAAGACGAAGGACTTTCAGAGGGGGGGCACTTCGCAAAGCGACAGAAAGAGAAACCAACCGCCCCTAGGAGGAGCTGAAGGAGACCCAGAAGCAGATGAAGGAGGAGAGGCGCGCACGCGGGAGAGCGGAGAAGGAGCGCGACGACGCCAAGCGCAGGCTCTGCTCCTTCCAGACTTGGTGGGGCGTCTTCCTCAAGCTGTGCTTGCAGGACTGCGCCGGGGGAAGGGAGGGCGCGGGCAGGCAGGGTAGGGGGCGGCCTCAGGAGCTGCCGAAGACCTGGGCCACGGAGGTCAAGCACTGGTCTGAGAGCGGAGTGAGGCACTTGCGCTGGCTGTGGTGGTGCAACGAGAACGGGGACTAGCGCAGAGACAACAGCGCGCAGCGGGGCGCGGGGAAGAAAGCCGCTCGCGCGGGGCGGGGGCGGGTCTGCACAGACTGCAGCGACGAGTACACGCTGAGCGTGAAGCATCGCCGCGGCAATGCCGTGCGCTTTAACTGGCGCGGGCCTCGCTACGATTGCGGATGCGACACTTGCAACGGCGACGAGGTGTCGGCGGTGAAGGGCACCATTTTGGCGGGCACGCCCACGAGCCTATGGATGAACAAGCTCAGCGCCTTCGTGATGTGGTGCTTCGACTACAGCCTTGGCACGCTCAAGGACGAGGTCGGCGTTGACGCCCACGCAACTGTGGAGCGCTGGATTCAACGTTTGAAGAGGGCGTCGAGGAGCACATGGCCAGGAAGATGGATTCTGGGAGCATTTTCGCAGACCTGCTCGGCGGCGGCCCGCGCAAGCGCCCCGCTGCTGCGAAAGCTGCGCCGAAGTGTCGGGCCAAGCGCTCGGCGAAGAGTCGTCCAGCCCAGGCGGGCGTCAAGAAGCGGCCTGTCATGAAGCGCCCCGCGCGGTCCAGGCTCCCTGTTGCCCGAACCAGGAAGGTCATCCTGCAGGTGGACGAGTCCTTCCTGAACAAGGGCAAGCTGTCCAAGCTGGCGAAGAACGCAAGGCCGAAGAAAGACAAGCTATGGCTTTGGGGCGCCGTCGTGCAGGGTTCGCCGCACCTGTTCTTCTTCAAAGTATTGAAGTCTGTCGAGGATGCTTACGACGGCAAGCCCAGGGGCAAGCAGGAGCTGTTGGAGAACTTCAAGGAGCTGTCGCCTCCCGCTGGCGTCGTCATCGTCTCGGACAAGTGGAGGGGGGCCATCGCGGCTGTGAAGCAGTACCGCACGAGGTAGTGAACCACAGCGCTGGCGAGATCACGAACGAAAGAGGGTTCACTACCAACCACGTAGAGCTCCAATGGTCATTGGTCAAGCGGTGGATCAGGAAGCGCTGCGGCGGGACGTTGCCCAAGAAGGCCGACAGGAAGAAGTGGTCGAGGCTCCTTGCCGAGCACAGGTTCCGCACCCACATCAAGGCCAGTGGGCAGAAGGTGAGTTTCGCGGCGCTGGCAGCTGCGTTCCGGGCGTGGTGATATGTCTAGAGCGTTGCGCTTGCCATATAGTGGCGATTTATACGTTCAAAGCACTGGGTACTTTTCCAGCGGAGCTTGAGCTATGTCGGGGAAGAAGGGCCCCCCGCGCGAACGCCATGCCGCACCACCCCGAGCCGATGCAGAAAACATATACCGCTGTCTCACTTATCGTCTTCGCTTAGCGGTTGCCGCCGACGTTGCCGACGTTGCCGTTGACGTTGCCGCGCTCCATGCAGTTTTTCCTTAAAAACGCAGGGGGCACAAATGAGCTTGTAACCCAACACTCTATAGTACAAACATGATCGACCCCCGATCCCGGAAAGGAATACAGAATTGTGAGGCGTGGCAACGCTTCCAAGACACCTGATTGGGCGACAAGCAAATGCAATGCTGAATGTATCGATCTTGATGTACCGTGCACAAGGCTGTGCTGTGCTGCGCCGTGCTGAGCTGCGATGTGCCATGACTTGACTGTGCTCTATAGCGTTGTGGATCGAGTCCTCCTTTGCATCCGAGTCCTGACCGAACTGATCTGGACTTTAAGCTAAAGCTGCCTGGGCACACAGTAGCTGCCCCAGAGCTACTTGACAGGGGGGGGGGCATGCCAGGAGGACGCGCCGCGGAACGTTCCAAGGGACGCGCCAGGCGACGTGCCAGGGGACGCGCCATGGGGACGCACCGCGGGACGTGCCAAGGGGACGCGCTACGGAACGTGCCAGTCGACGTGCCGCGGGACGTGCCAGGGGACTCGCCGCGCGAAGTGCCAGAGGGACTCGCCACGGGACGCGCCACGGAACGTGCCAGGGAACGTGCCAGGTTGCAATGCTGAGTGTATCGATCTCGATGTACCGTGCCGAGGGCTGTGCTGTGCCTGGGCGAACTGGACACGTGAAAACAACCGTTTTGCTCAAGACATTCTCGACACATCCTCATGCTAGACATCCGCCTGGGCGACATGGACGCGTGAAAGCAAGCGTCTCGCTCGAGACATCCTCAACAAATCCTCATGCTAGACATCTGCCTGGGCAACATGGACGCGCGAAACCAAGCGTCTCACTCAAGACATCCTCAAGACCTGGGGACGTGAAAACAAGCATTTCACTCGAGAGATCCTCTGCATTCTGGTCCACTTGAGAGGACAATCTAGAACACAAAACAAGCGTTTCGCTCGAGATATCCTCCCTAATTCTGCAAAACATTCGTTTCGCTAGGGACATCCTCGATATTTAATTCGCCGGCCTTCTTCGACCTCATCATTCATCGCAAAAGAATGTCACCGGCCCTCTTCAAACTTGGCACTGGAAACAGGTTTCCAGAAAAAAAGCGTTTCGCTCGAGACATTCTCAACACATTCTGCAAAACAAGTGCTTCGCTCGAGACATCCGCAGCAAACGAACATGTGTATTTCACCATGTGTATTATCGATCGGGATTTCAACATGATCGGCCCACGAGCCAGGAAAAGGATATGAAAATGTGAAGTATGGCAACGTTTTCAAGACACCTGATTGGGCGACGGGCAATTGCAATGCTGAGTGTATCGATCTTGGTGTACGGTACCCAAGGCTGTGCTGTGCTGTGCCGTGCTGAACTGAGATGCGCCGTGACGCGATTGTGCTCTATAGCGTTGTGGATCGAGTCCTCCTTGGCATTCGAGTCCTGACCGAACTGATCTGGATCTTACGCACGAGCTGCCTGAGCACGTAGTAGCCGCCCCAGGGCTAGTTCAAGTGGAAACGCTGAGGACGTTCAATCAACTCGACCTCAAACTGAAACTCAGCTCCGGAAAGGAACGACACGACACGGGTCACAGGCTCACGGACGCGCCACAGGATGTGCCAGGGGCGCAGTAGGGGATGCGCCAGGGGACGTGTCAGGGGACCTATCAGGGGACGTACCCTGGACGTGTCAGGGACCTGTCATGGGACGTGCCAAGGCGCGTGCCGTGGGGCTACCAGAGGACGCCATTCCAAGGGACGTTGCAAGGGGCCCGCCACGGAAAGGGCAGGGGAAACTCCTGGGGACGAGCCAGGAAACGCAACAGAGGATGAGCCAGGGAACGTGCCACGCCGAGTGGCGTGCTAGGGGACGTGCCAAGGCACGTCACGCCTGAACGTCGCAAGGGACGCGCCAGGGGACGCGGCAGCGCGCCAGGGGACGCCCCACGCACGGGCGGGGTTGGACTGCGACGCACCCTATTGCGACAAGCGTTTCGCTCGAGACATCTGCCTGGGCAACCTGGACGCGCGAAACCAAGCGTCTCGCTCGAGACATCCTCAAGACCTGGGCACATGAAAACAAGCATTTCACATCAGGCGTCCTCTGGATTCTGGCCCCCAGAAGAAGAACAATCTACAATCCAAACATGATCGACCCACGATCCCGGAAAGGAATACAGAAATGTAAGGCGTGGCAACGCTTCAAAGACACCTGATTGGGCGACAAGCAAATCCAATGCTGAATGTATCGATCTTGATGTACCGTGCCCAGTGCTGTACTGTGCTGTGCCGTGCTGAATTGCGATGTGCCACGCCGCGATTGTGCTCTATAGCGTAGTGGATCGAGTCCTCCTTTGCATCCGAGTCCTGAAAGAACTGATCTGGACCTTAAGCTAAAGCTGCCTGGGCACACAGTAGCTGCCCCAGAGCTACTTGACAGGGGGGGGGGGGGCATGCCAGGAGGACGCGCCGCGGAACGTTCCAAGGGACGCGCCAGGCGACGTGCCAGGGGACGCGCCATGGGGACGCACCGCGGGACGTGCCAAGGAGACGCGCTACGGAACGTGCCAGTCGACGTGCCGCGGGACGTGCCAGGGGACTCGCCGCGCGAAGTGCCAGAGGGACTCGCCACGGGACGCGCCACGGAACGTGCCAGGGAACGTGCCAGGTTGCAATGCTGAGTGTATCGATCTCGATGTACCGTGCCGAGGGCTGTGCTGTGCCTGGGCGAACTGGACACGTGAAAACAACCGTTTTGCTCAAAACATTCTCGACACATCCTCATGCTAGACATCCGCCTGGGCGACATGGACACGTGAAAGCAAGCGTCTCGCTCGAGACATCCTCAACAAATCCTCATGCTAGACATCTGCCTGGGCAACATGGACGCGCGAAACCAAGCGTCTCACTCAAGACATCCTCAAGACCTGGGCACGTGAAAACAAGCATTTCACTCGAGAGATCCTCTGCATTCTGGTCCACTTGAGAGGACAATCTAGAACACAAAACAAGCGTTTCGCTCGAGATATCCTCCCTAGTTCTGCAAAACATTCGTTTCGCTAGGGACATCCTCGATATTTAATTCGCCGGCCTTCTTCGACCTCATCATTCATCGCAAAAGAATGTCACCGGCCCTCTTCAAACTTGGCACTGGAGACAGGTTTCCAGAACATGATGGACCCACGAACCCGGAAAGGGATATAGACATGTGGAGCATGGGCACGTTTTCACGATACCCAACGGGGCAACACCTCACGAAACATCCCACGAGACACCTCACGAAACATCCCACGAGACACCTCACGAAACATTCCGCGAGACACCTCACGAAACATTCCAGGAGACACCCCGCGAAACATTCCACGAGACACCCCACGAAACATTCCACGACGACAGGCAACCACTCAACCAAGTGCTGGGGAGTGGTCGTGCTGGGGTGTGGTCGTGCTGGGGTGTGGTCGTGCTGGGGGGGTGGTCGTGCTGGGGGGTGGTTGTGCTGGGGCGTGGTCGTGCTGGGGCGTGGTCGTGCTGGGGCGTGGTCGTGCTGGGGTGTGGTCGTGCTGTGGTGAGGTCGTGCTGGGGTGTGGTCGTGCTGGGGTGTGGTCTTGCTAGGGTGGGGTCGTGCTGGGGTGGGGTCGTGCTGGGGTGGGGTCGTGCTGGGGTGTGGTCGTGCTGGGGTGTGGTCGTGCTGGGGTGTGGTCGTGCTGGGGTGTGGTCGTGCTGGGGAGTGGTCGTGCTGGGGTGTGGTCGTGCTGGGGCGTGGTCGTGCTGGGGGGTGGTCGTGCTGGGGGTGTGGTCGTGCTGGGGGGTGGTCGTGCTGGGGCGTGGTCGTGCTGGGGCGTGGTCGTGCTGGGGCGTGGTCGTGCTGGGGTGGGGTCGTGCTGGGGTGTGGTCGTGCTGGGGTGTGGTCGTGCTGGGGTGTGGTCTTGCTGGGGTAGGGTCGTGCTGGGGTCGGGTCGTGCTGGGGTGTGGTCGTGCTGGGGTATGGTCGTGCTGGGGTGGGGTCGTGCTGGGGTGGGGTCGTGCTGGGGTCTGGTCGTGCTGGGGTGTGGTCGTGCTGGGGTATGGTCGTGCTAGGGTGGGGTCGTGCATTTCGCTCGAGACATCCTGCCAAAATTCCAGGAAATCGTACAAAAACAAACGAATTAGTCGAGACATCATCGAAATTCCTTCGCGCGGGGCGCTTTTCCGCGTCGCGGTCGGCTCTGCAAAACAAGCGTTTCGCTCGAGACATCCTCGGCAAACTCTGCGGAGCAAGCGTTTCGCTCGAGACATCCTCAACTCTGCAAAACCAGCGTTTCGCTCGAGACATCCTCAAGAAATTCTGAAAAACAAGCGTTTCGCTCGAGACATCCTCAAATTTTAATTCGCCGGCCTCCTTCGACCTCGTTATTTATCAGGGAAAAAATTCGCCGGCCTCCCTCAAGCAGGCACCGGGGGACAGGTTTACCTACTAAAAGAGAACCCTGGGCCCCAGCCCTTTCCGGGAAAAAAAGCGTTTCGCTCGAGACATTCTCAACACATTCTG